ATTTGAAAAGTGTCCTGAGATAACTTTCTGTTATGAATTGGTGCTATACAAATAAAATTGAATTGAATAGAATTATAACTGTGTACTGTTATCAATAATAACAAAATGCTTACAGGCAAAACTAGCTCTTCTCCCTTTGCTGTCTCGAGAGGATCAAGACAAGGCTGTCCTCTTAGCCCTCTGTTATTCACCCTTTCTCTTGAACCACTGGCACAAGCCATCCCTGGCTCACCCACAATCTCTCCAATTTCCATTAGAGGAACACACCATCATGTCTCACTGTATGCTGATGATGTTTTATTGTATATAAACAACCCAGTGCAATGTATCCCATATGTTTTGTCAACCTTTAAACATTACGGCAAGCTTTCTGGTTTAAAAATAAATTGGCAGAAATCAGCTTTGCTACCTTTAAACCAGGCGTTGTGTAATGCTCCCATCCCTGCATCTATTCCACTCACTAAAAACTTTACTTATCTGGGGAAAGATATCTCTTCCTCCATACAGACAATAATTAAAAACTATTTTTGCAACACACTTAAAGTCGTGGCAGATCTGGACAGGTGGTCTAGCCTGCCAAATTCACTTCGTGGCAGGGTAGCCATAATTAAAATGAATATATTTTTTTAATTGCTCAATATTGGAGCAAATTACATTCAGCAACAACACATTTCTGTGGCGTGGCAAACGATCTTGCATTAAGCTCACCACTATGCGAGAAAGGCGAGCTGGTGGCCTGTCTCTCCCGAACTTCAAGTTCTATGAGTGGGCCTTTACACTTAGACCTCTCCTATCTTGGTCCATAAGGCTCCATATTAAAGTGCAGAGATAGTTTCACTCTTTAAATCATATTAAGGATTAAAGTTGTGAATACTTTAGGGCAGAGAGGAGAGGATTGTTTATTTCCTTTGTTTAAATAGAGAATAAGTGTATAATATTAATGGAGGCTGGATGCAGTATTACTACGCTGCTGTATGGTCAGTCTGATACACACTGTATCAGTGAGAGGTCAAAGGTCAACACGCCCTGTCTGAGTCATCCTGACACGAGTACAGTATTTAGTGACGGACACATGTTCTCCACTCTTCTTTTATTTTGTACAGGAAGTGATGGTGACAGACTACTCAATGACGCCTGGAACCGTCTCCAGGACCATTAAACCTTCCTCAATGATCTCTAGAACTTCCTAAACAACCTTGAATTTTTAAATCTACTAAAGGACTCCTTACATCAGTTTATCATTCATAGAAACTTCACAAGGACTCCTGGAACCTCTTCAAGGACCCCTGGAACCTCTTCAAGGACCCCTACATCTCTTCAACGATCCCTGGAACATCTTCAAAGACCCCTGACAACTCTTCAAGGACCCCTGGAACATCTCCAAGGACCCCTGAAAACTCTTCAAGGGCCCCTGGAACATCTTCAAGGACCCCTGAAAACTCTTCAAGGACCCCAGGAACCTCTCCAAGGACCCCTGGAACATCTTCAAAGGCCCCTGGAACATCTTCAATGACCCCTGGAAACTCTCCAAGGATGCCTTGAAAGTTCTTAAATAAACCTAAATTCTTTCTCACTGAACCTCATTGAATAATCCACTGATCGAGTCTGTTAATAAACACAAAAATAATAATATCAGATAATAACAGATAATATCAGATAATATCAGATAATAATCGACCTGCAGCAGAGAAAGTAGAATAAAAAGTAGAATTTAAATGGAGCCTAAAATAAATAAATAATGTTTCCAGGCGACAGAGGGCGCTACAGTCCGACTCTCCACTCTCTGCAGCCCTGATGTGAACCTTCTTACCCCGTTACCCTGCAGGAAGCCCCCACTCCTTATCTGCCCCCCACCCCATCACACACACAC